CCATCGTGAACCCAATGAGAGAGACACCCAGACCCAGGGCTCGAACCCAGCCTCTCGGTGTCTCCGACACGGCCATCGTGAACCCACTGAGAGAGAGACACCCAGACCCAGGGCTCGAACCCAGCCTCTCGGTGTCTCCGACACGGCCATCGTGAACTTCGCTAACCCCCTGCGAGGAATGTGGTGGAGCCGTGAGTATGGTGGATTTAAAGGCAGCCCTACCCCCCTCACCCTCACCCCCCTCACCCCCCTCACCCCCCTCACCCCCTCTCGCACCCTCACCGCCTACGTGGGCCACGATCTGCTTACCCCGAAACCCATCGGCGCCAAACCAACAGAGTCGAGGAGCGGCTAAATTTACCAGAACTGCCAAACCCTCGAAAGGCAAAGATCCCCCGCATAGCCTTTGACAGGCTGTTTGGGGCAAGTGCTGTTAGTGGCGAGTGGCAGGCTCGCTATGAAGGCCGGCACCGTGGCACACACACGCACACACACACACACGCACACACACAGGCACACATACACACACGCGGACACACGCACAAAAAAAACAAAGACAAAGATCCCCCATATAGCCTGTAACAGACTGTAGGGGCAAGTGCTGTTAGCGAGCACCTCATGAAGGCCGGAACGGTACACGAGGGGTTGGTTGGCCAGCACCACGCCCGACCGCCTTTGTCTCCCTAGTGGCAATGTTTTTATCCACCGCACCAGGTACTCATTATGAGGCTGAGTCGACCTAGGGGAGGCCCGGGACCGGTTCAGATAATCGTCACTGGTGTTGGCCGTGAGCGGGGAATCGAACCCGGGTCGCCAGGTTCATAGCGCAGCGTAGCGCTAACCGCTACACTATCGCTCCCCACACAGAGTGACACACACACACACACGCACACACACGCACACATACACACACGCACACCGCAACCAGGTGGAGAGAGGTTGGGGGGCTGGAGTGTGGTGGTGGTGGTCGTGGTGGTGGGGGTGGTGGTGGGGGTAATAGTGATGTGTGTGGTGGTGGTGGGGGTGGTAGTGGTGGCGGGGGTGGTAGTGGTGTGTGTGGTGGTGGTGGTGTAGGTAGTGGTGGTGTGTGTGGTGGTGGTGGGGGTGGTAGTGGTGGTGGGGGTGGTAGTGGTGTGTGTGCTGGGGGTGGTAGTGGTGGTGGGGGTGGTAGTGGTGTGTGTGATGGTGGTGGTGTAGGTAGTGGTGGGGTGTGTGGTGGTGGTGGGGGTGGTAGTGGTGGTGGGGGTGGTAGTGGTGTGTGTGGTGGTGGTTGGGAGTGGTAGTGGTGGTGGGGGTGGTAGTGGTGTGTGTGGTGGTGGTGGTAGTGGTGTGTGTGTGGTGGTGGTGTAGGTAGTGGTGGTGTGTGTGGTGGTGGTGGGGGTGGTAGTGGTGGTGGGGGTGGTAGTGGTGTGTGTGGTGGTGGTGGGGGTGGAGGTGGTGGGGGTGGTGGGGGTGGTGGTGGGGGTGGTGGGGGTGATGGTGTGTGTGGTAGTGGTGGTGATGGTGGAGGTGGTGGTGGGGGTGATGGTGTGTGTGGTGGGGGTGGTAGTGGTGGTGGTGGTGGGGGTGATGGTGTGTGTGGTAGTGGTGGTGATGGTGGGGGTGGAGGTGGTGGTGGTGGTGGGGGTAGTGGGGGAAGTGGGGGTGATGGTGTGTGTGGTGGTGGTGGTGTGTGTGGTGGGGGTGGTAGGGGTGGTGGTGGTGGTAGTGGTGGTGGGGGTAGTGGGGTAGTGGTGTGTGTGGTAGTGGTGATGGTGTCTGTGGTGGGGGTGGTGGGGGTAGTAGTGGTGGTGGTGGGGGTAGTGGGGGTAGTGTGTGTAGTAGTGGTGATGGTGTGTGAACCTGGCGACCCGGGTTCGATTCCCGCTCACGGCCAACATCAGTGACGATTATCTGAACCGGTCCCGGGCCTCCCCTAGGTCGACTCAGCCTCAAATGAGTACCTGGTGCGGTGTGTAAACATCGCCACTGGGGAGACAAAGGCGGTCGGGCGTGGTGCTGGCCACCCACCCCCTCGAGTACCGTTTCGGCCTTCATAGGTGCTCGCTAACAGCACTTGCCCCTACAGTCTGTTAAGGCTATATGGGGGATCTTTGTCTTTGTCTTTGGTGTGTGTTGTGTGTGTGGTGGGGGTAGTGGTGATGGTGTGTGTGTTATGATGGTGGGGGTAGTGGGTGTAGAAGTGGTGATGGTGTGTGTTATGATGGTGGGGGTAGTGAGTGTAGTAGTGGTGATGGTGTGTGTTGTGTGTGTAGTGGGGGTAGTGGTGGTGGTGGTGTGTGTGGTGGGGGTAGTGGGTGTAGTAGTGGTGATGGTGTGTGTTGTGTGTGTAGTGGGGGTAGTGGTGGTGTGTGTTATGATGGTGGGGGTAGTGGGTGTAGTGGTGATGATGGTGTGTGTTGTGTGTGTAGTGGGGGTAGTAGTAGTGATGGTGTGTGTTGTGTGTGTGGTGGGTGTAGTAGTGGTGATGGTGTGTGTTGTGTGTGTGGTGGAGGTAGTGGGTGTAGTGGTGGTGATGGTGTGGGTGTTATGACGGTGGGGGTAGTGGGTGTAGTGGTGGTGGTGGTGTGGGCGTTATGATGGTGGGGGTAGTGGGTGTAGTGGTGGTGATGATGTGTGTTGTGTGTGTGGTGTGTGTTATGATGGTGGGGGTAGTGGGTGTAGTGGGTGTAGTGGGGGTAGTGGGTGTAGTGGGGGTAGTGGGTGTAGTGGGGGTAGTGGGTGTAGTGGGGGTAGTGGGGGTAGTGGGTGTAGTGGGGGTAGTGGGTGTAGTGGGGGTAGTGGGGGTAGTGGGTGTAGTGGGGGTAGTGGGTGTAGTGGGTGTAGTGGTGGTGATCGTGTGTGTGTGTTATGATGGTGGGTGTAGTGGGTGTAGTGATGGTGGTGGTGTGTGTTATGATGGTGGGGGTAGTGGGGGTAGTGGGTGTAGTAGTGGTGATGGTGTGTGTGTTTTGATGGTGGGGGTAGTGGGTGTAGTGGTGGTGGTGGTGTGTGTGTTATGATGGTGGGTGTAGTGGGTGTAGTGATGGTGGTGGTGTGTGTTATGATGGTGGGGGTAGTGGGGGTAGTGGGTGTAGTAGTGGTGATGGTGTGTGTGTTATGATTGTGGGGGTAGTGGGTGTAGTGGTGGTGGTGGTGGTGATGGTGTGTGTTGTGTGTGTAGTGGGTGTAGTGGGTGTAGTGGGGGTAGTGGGTGTAGTGGGTGTAGTGGTGGTGATGATGTGTGTTGTGTGTGTGGTGTGTGTTATGATGGTGGGGGTAGTGGGGGTAGTGGTGGTGATGGTGTTATGATGGTGGGGGTAGTGGGTGTAGTGGGTGTTGTGGGTGTTGTGTGTGATGGTGGTGGTGGTGTGTGTAGTGGGTGTAGTGGGTGTAGTGGGTGTAGTGTGTGATGGTGTGTGTAGTGGGTGTAGTGGTGATGGTGTGTGTAGTGGGTGTAGTGGTGATGGTGTTATGATGGTGTGTGTAGTGGGTGTAGTGTGTGTTGTGTGTGTGGTGTGTGTAGTGGGTGTAGTGTGTGTTGTGTGTGATGGTGTGTGTAGTGGGTGTAGTGGGTGTAGTGTGTGATGTGTGTGATGGTGGGTGTAGTGGGTGTAGTGGTGGTGGTGTGTGTTATGATGGTGTGTGTAGTGGGTGTAGTGTGTGATGGTGGGGGTAGTGGGTGTAGTGGTGGTGGTGGTGTGTGTAGTGGGTGTAGTGGTGGTGGTGGTGTGTGTAGTGGGTGTAGTGGTGGTGGTGGTGTGTGTAGTGGGTGTAGTGTGTGTTGTGTGTGTGGTGTGTGTAGTGGGTGTTGTGTGTGTTGTGTGTGTGGTGTGTGTAGTGGGTGTAGTGTGTGTTATGGTGGTGGTGTGTGTAGTGTGTGTAGTGGGTGTAGTGGTGGTGGTGGTGTGTGTAGTGGGTGTAGTGGTGGTGGTGGTGTGTGTAGTGGGTGTAGTGGTGGTGGTGGTGTGTGTAGTGGGTGTAGTGGTGGTGGTGGTGTGTGTAGTGGGTGTAGTGGTGGTGGTGGTGTGTGTAGTGGGTGTAGTGGTGGTGGTGGTGTGTGTAGTGGGTGTAGTGGTGGTGGTGGTGTGTGTAGTGGGTGTAGTGGTGGTGGTGGTGTGTGTAGTGGGTGTAGTGTGTGTTGTGTGTGTGGTGTGTGTAGTGGGTGTAGTGTGTGTTGTGTGTGTGGTGTGTGTAGTGGGTGTAGTGTGTGTTATGGTGGTGGTGTGTGTAGTGTGTGTAGTGGGTGTAGTGGTGGTGGTGGTGTGTGTAGTGGGTGTAGTGGTGGTGGTGGTGTGTGTAGTGGGTGTAGTTCTCTTCCCCTCGGCCAATGGGCCAGAGTTTGAGATCGAGTTTCTGTATCCCGCCTGCTGCTTGTACTCAAGTCGCCTTGCTCGGCGGTAGCCCCCGGGGAATGCCACTGCCACGTGCGGGCAACGTCCAGCCTCAACAACATCATCAGCAGCAGCAGCAGCAGCGGCGTCAACAACATCATCAGCAGCAGCATCAGCAGCAGCAGCAGCAGCGTCAACAACATCATCATCAGCAGCAGCAGCAGCGTCAACAACATCATCATCATCAGCAGCAGCAGCAGCAGCGTCAACAACATCAGCAGCAGCAGCAGCGTTAACAACATCATCATCATCAGCAGCAGCAGCCTCAACAACATCATCAGCAGCAGCAGCAGCAGCGTCAACAACATCATCATCAGCAGCAGCGTCAACAACATCATCAGCAGCAGCAGCGTCAACAACATCATCAGCAGCAGCAGCAGCGTCAACAACATCATCATCATCAGCAGCAGCAGCAGCGTCAACAACATCATCATCAGCAGCAGCAGCAGCAGCGTCAACAACATCATCAGCAGCAGCATCAGCTGTAGAGGCATCATCATCATCATCAGCAGCAGCAGCGTCAACAACATCATCATCAGCAGCAGCATCAGCTGTAGGGGCATCAGCATCATCATCAGCAGCAGCGTCAACAACATCATCATCATCAGCAGCAGCAGCGTCAACAACATCATCAGCGGCATCATCATCAGCAACATCATCAGCGCCATCATCTCGATGTACGTCGCATAGCGACACATACACACACATACACACATACACATACACACATACACACACACGTACACACATACATACACACATACATACACACATACATACACACATACATACACACATACATACACACATACATACACACATACATACACACATACATACACACATACATACACACATACATACACACATACATACACACATACATACACACATACATACACACATACATACACACATACATACACACATACATACACACATACATACACACATACATACACACATACATACACACATACATACACACATACATACACACATACATACACACATACATACACACATACATACACACATACATACACACATACATACACACATACATACACACATACATACACACATACATACACACATACATACACACATACATACACACATACATACACACATACATACACACATACATACACACATACATACACACATACATACACACATACATACACACATACATACACACATACATACACACATACATACACACATACATACACACATACATACACACATACATACACACATACATTCACATGCACACACACATACACTCACATACACACTCACATACACACATACATACACACACATACACACACACATACACTCACATACACACATGCATACATATACACACACGTACACACATACACACACATACATTCACACACATACACACACACACATACACTCACATGCACACACACATACACTCACATACACACTCACATACACACATACATACACACACATGCACACATACATACACACATACACACACATACATACACACATACATACACACACATACACACACATACAACAACAACAACCGCTGACGTCACCACGACTCTTGTGCCAGGCCATACATACACACATACACACACATAGACACACATACACACAGACTCGCCATAGACTCAACACTGCCCATCGACTCAACACTGCACCATACACTCAACACTGCACCATAGACTCAACACTGCACCATAGACTCAACACTGCCCATCGACTCAACACTGAACAATAGACTCAACACTGCACCACAGACTCAACACTGCACCATAGACTCAACACTGCCCATAGACTCATCACTGCACCATAGACTCAACACTGCACCATAGACTCAACACTGCCCATAGACTCAACACTGCACCATAGACTCAACACTGCACCATAGACTCAGCACTGCACCATAGACTCAGCACTGCACCATAGACTCAGCACTGCACGATAGACTCAGCACTGCACCATAGACTCAGCACTGCACAATAGACTCAACACTGCACCATAGACTCAGCACTGCACCATAGACTCAGCATTGCACCACAGACTCAACACTGCACCACAGACTCAACACTGCACCATAGACTCAACACTGCACCATAGACTCAACACTGCCCATAGACTCAACACTGCCCATAGACTCAGCACTGCACCACAGACTCAACACTGCACCATAGACTCAACACTGCACCACAGACTCAACACTGCACCACAGACTCAACACTGCACCACAGACTCAACACTGCACCACAGACTCAACACTGCACCATAGACTCAACACTGCACCATAGACTCAACACTGCCCGTAGACTCATCACTGCACCATAGACTCAGCACTGCACCATAGACTCAGCACTGCACCATAGACTCAACACTGCACCATAGATTCAACACTGCACCATAGACTCATCACTGCACCATAGACTCAACACTGCACCATAGACTCAACACTGCACCATAGACTCATCACTGCACCATAGACTCAACACTGCACCATAGACTCAACACTGCACCATAGACTCAACACTGCACCATAGACTCAACACTGCACCATAGACTCAGCACTGCACCATAGACTCAGCATTGCACCACAGACTCAACACTGCACCACAGACTCAACACTGCACCATAGACTCAACACTGCACCATAGACTCAACACTGCCCATAGACTCAACACTGCCCATAGACTCAACACTGCACCACAGACTCAACACTGCACCATAGACTCAGCACTGCACCATAGACTCAGCACTGCACCATAGACTCAGCACTGCACCATAGACTCAGCACTGCACCATAGACTCAACACCGCCCCATAGACTCAACATTGCACCACAGACTCAACACTGCACCATAGACTCAAAACACCTCACCTCCGATTAGCACGTTCGGGCTACGTGCGGTGCGAAAGAAGTTCAACGTACACACAGATACACACACAAAAGACAAAGATCCCCCATATAGCCTGTAACAGAGTGTAGGGGCAAGTGCTGTTAGCGAGCACCTATGAAGGCCAGAACGGTACACGAGGGGGTGGGTGGCCAGCACCACGCCCGACCGCCTTTGTCTCCCTAGTGGCGATGTTTACACACCGCACCAGGTACTCATTTGAGGCTGAGTCGACCTAGGGGAGGCCCGGGACCGGTTCAGATAATCGTCACTGGTGTTGCCCGTGAGCGGGAATCGAACCCGGGTCGCCAGGTTCATAGCGCAGCGCGCTAACCGCTACACTATCGCTCCCCACATACACACATACATACACACATACATACACACATACATACACACATACATACACACATACATACACACATACATACACACATACATACACACATACATACACACATACATACACACATACATACACACATACATACACACATACATACACACATACATACACACATACATACACACATACATACACACATACATACACACATACATACACACATACATACACACATACATACACACATACATACACACATACATACACACATACATACACACATACATACACACATACATACACACATACATACACACATACATACACACATACATACACACATACATACACACATACATACACACATACATACACACATACATACACACATACATACACACATACATACACACATACATACACACATACATACACACATACATACACACATACATACACACATACATACACACATACATACACACATACATACACACATACATACACACATACATACACACATACATACACACATACATACACACATACATACACACATACATACACACATACATACACACATACATACACACATACATACACACATACATACACACATACATACACACATACATACACACATACATACACACATACATACACACATACATACACACATACATACACACATACATACACACATACATACACACATACATACACACATACATACACACATACATACACACATACATACACACATACATACACACATACATACACACATACATACACACATACATACACACATACATACACACATACATACACACATACATACACACATACATACACACATACATACACACATACATACACACATACATACACACATACATACACACATACATACACACATACATACACACATACATACACACATACATACACACATACATACACACATACATACACACATACATACACACATACATACACACATACATACACACATACATACACACATACATACACACATACATACACACATACATACACACATACATACACACATACATACACACATACATACACACATACATACACACATACATACACACATACATACACACATACATACACACATACATACACACATACATACACACATACATACACACATACATACACACATACATACACACATACATACACACATACATACACACATACATACACACATACATACACACATACATACACACATACATACACACATACATACACACATACATACACACATACATACACACATACATACACACATACATACACACATACATACACACATACATACACACATACATACACACATACATACACACATACATACACACATACATACACACATACATACACACATACATACACACATACATACACACATACATACACACATACATACACACATACATACACACATACATACACACATACATACACACATACATACACACATACATACACACATACATACACACATACATACACACATACATACACACATACATACACACATACATACACACATACATACACACATACATACACACATACATACACACATACATACACACATACATACACACATACATACACACATACATACACACATACATACACACATACATACACACATACATACACACATACATACACACATACATACACACATACATACACACATACATACACACATACATACACACATACATACACACATACATACACACATACATACACACATACATACACACATACATACACACATACATACACACATACACACACACATACACACACACATACACACACACATACACACACACATACACACACACATACACACACACATACACACACACATACACACACACATACACACACACATACACACACACATACACACACACATACACACATACATACACACATACACACACACATACACACACACACACATACACACACACATACACACACACATACACACACACATACACACACACATACACACATACACACATACACACACACACACAACAACAACAACAACAACCGCCATTCGCCACTAAGTGGCGGTGACGTCACCACGACGCTTGTGCCAGGCTATGTGCACCCTGAGGCCACGTGAAGTGTCGAACGCCCGCTGGCAGGAGGTCACGGGGCAGACCCAGGTGCCACGGGTCGACTGACTGAGATGACTGGCTGATGCACCACCTGTGCCCCCTACTGTGCCAACCTGCTGTGCTTTAGCCACCCGGCGCTCCGCTCGCTGTTGTGAGCGTCGCTCCTCCGCCCTCCGTTGTTGTTGGAGGGCGACTGCCTCCAACTGCCCAGTAGCATCCTTCACGAGCCTCCTCCACAGAGGCCGATCTTGACACCGCTGGTACCAGTCATCGGCAAGTCCACTCAGCTCCACGTCCTCCTGTACCACATCACTCCATCTCTTCTCTAGCCCGTGCCGCGCCCGCCTAGCCCCCTCAATCCGGCCAAACAAAAGCTGTCTCGGCATGCGGCGGCTGGGCACGCGGGCCACATGACCCAGCCATCGCAGCCTTGCCCGCCGGAGGAGCTCACCGATGGGACCCTGCCCAGATCTTTCAAGGATTTGTGAGCTCCTCACACAATCCAGTCTGGCTAAACCCAGGATGGACCTTAGGCAGGCCAGCCCAAATGCCTCCAACCGGCGAAGACGCTCCACTAGGGGGGTCCACGCCTCGCAAGCGCAGAGAAGGGAGGGAATGACCGTGGCCGAGAAGACCTGAAGTTTAGTGCGGAGCGACAGACCAGGTAGCTTCCACACAGCGTTACGCAACCGATGAAAAGATATTGCCGCTCGACTGATTCGGAGTGAGACCTCTGCTGTTAAACTGGAGCCAGTCATAAGCACACTGCCCAGGTATGGGAAACTCTCCACTCTCTCCACAACTGCCCCATCACCGATTGGGAGTTGTGGGGGTGGAGTGTCCGATGGTACAAAATACCCAGGCAGGTGCTTAGTTTTGGTGGGGCTGATGGTAAGGCCCCACCTCTTAGTGGCACGCTCCAGTCTCAGCAGCAGCGTCTCCAACTCCTCCTCTGACTGAGCAGCTATTACCAAGTCATCAGCATACATAACGTGGTTGAGCAATAGGGAGCCATCCCTTGACCGCACCCGGGCATCGATTAGCCTCCCATTATATCTGTACCATATGGAGATTCCCCCGGTACAGCTATTGAAGGCTTCACGAACTACGTGGTCAAAATAGATGTTAAATAATGTGGGAGCCAGAGGACATCCCTGTCGCACCCCAAGGTGTACAGGGAATGGCTCTGACTCCCGGCCACGTAGTTTTACCCGGGCCCGCTCACCATCATGAAGGTCCTTAATGATCGTGAGCAGAGGGTCAGGTACTCCAAAAGCACGAAGAACGACCCAGAGCCCAGGCCTACTGATGGTATCATAGGCCTTGACCAGGTCAATAAAGCAGAGATGTAGGTCTTGTTGGAATTCCCTACACCTCTGCTGTAGCAGACGGACAGAAAATATGGCATCTGTGCAGGACCGCCCTTTCCTGAAACCACATTGGGGCTCCGCAAGCCTCTCCTCAGCGTGCCTGGCAAGGCGATGCTGAATAATCCTTGCCAGGACCTTTCCCGGCACACTGAGGAGTGAGATGCCCCTGTAGTTGTTACAGTCTGTGCGGTCCCCCTTCTTAAAAAGGGGGACCACCAGGGCATCCTTCCAATCCTGCGGAACCCGTCCAGTGGTCCAGACTGTTGTTATGATGTCATATAGGGCAGTCTGTGCACAAACGCCACCCTCCCTCAGCATTTCGCTTGGGAGATCATCTCTGCCCGCTGCCTTTCCTGGTCTCAGACTCCGTATCGCCTTCAATACTTCCTCAGCAGATGGCACCTCAGCCAGCCACTCACAGGGGGTGACTTCATCCAATATTTGAGGCACCGCAGCCTCAGCAGGGTCATCCTCACTTTGTGCCACGATGTTTTCCTGGCTGAGGGATTTTCCCTCCCCCAGGACCTCACAGAAATGCTCAGCAAATCTGCGAACCTGTTCCTGGGGGTCGGAAATTGGATCACCGTTTTTTCCCCTAATGATGGTAATAGGTGTGGCGCTGCAGGTTACTTTTTTGATGGAGTTAAATAGAGATTTGTGATCACGGGCCACTGAGGCAGACTCCATCTCCTCAGCAACCCGCGACCACCACCCATCCTTGCAGCGCCTCACGGCTCTCCGAACCTCCGAGCGAAGGCTGCGGTAAGCCTCCTCATTCTCTGACGTGGGATTCTGTAGCCGATGACAGTGGGCCTGTCGCTTTTTCTCAACCATCGTGAACAACTCCTCTGTCATCCGGGGTGTCTGGGGAGGTCTGGACCGCGTACCCAAAGCAGCCATTGCAGCTGCATGAGTCACAGTCCTAAACCTCGCCCATTTTCCCTCGACATCAGGAGGAGTCGGGGACGATACCAATCCCAGCCGCAAGCGATGATGAAATTCTCGCTTACAACTTTCATCAGATAACTGAGACCAGGCCACTTTAGGTTGGAATGGGGTCCTGGGTGTACACCCACCACCGGAGTGGAAGAATGGCCGGCGCATCTTACAGATGACTAGTCGATGGTCAGAGGGCAGATCAGCTCCACGGTAGGTCCTGGTGTCAAGGACATGGGCTCGCATTCGCTGGTCCGTCACTATGTAGTCCAGCAGATGTTCTTGCTTGGACCCGGCATGCATCCATGATGTTGTGTGGATGCGCCGATGCCGGAACAGCGTGTTGGTAATTACAAGCCCATGGGCTGCACAAAAATCTAGCAGCCTCCTACCGTTGTTATTGAGCTGATCTGGCCCATGCCCTCCAATCACTCCAGACCAGGTGCCAGTATCATGACCAACTCGGGCATTGAAGTCACCCAACATGATGACTCTATCCCGAGGGGCCACTTTAGCCAGCACCTGTGACAGGAGGTCATAGAAGGCATCTGACTCATCGGCTTTGCCTGCATCCCTCCACGGATGTTCATCTTCGGTGGGGGCATAAGTAACCACGACCACCATTCCTCGCCTCCGGTTGATGGGAAGGCGAGCCCAAAGTAGCCTGGGGCTTACAGCTTCCCACACCTCACCGCCACGCTCCCACGCCCCCTTCATTCTTTTGTTCAAAAGAAGACCCACACCCTGTTGTTTGGCGGTCTGCTGCCCCGAGTAGAGGACTGTCCACCCCTCATGGTGGCAGGAGCCAGAGCCGGTCCACCGGACCTCCTGAATGCCGCATAGATCCAGGCGGTACCGGTCCAGCTCCCGACAGAGGAGTGGCAGCCTCTCCTCTGCAGTGAGCGTTCGAACATTCCACGTGGCCAACCGTAGTGGCTTTTCGTTGTTTCTGGAGTAGCCCCGAGGGTAGGTATTCAATCTCCTGGCTCCGCCAATTGGGGTTTGGCCAGGAGACGTCATAGACGCCTGGCCCCCCGGGGCCTCCGGCACAAGCTTAGTTGTTACATATTTCAGTTTAATTCGTAGTTTCGTGGTAATTAATTGAAGGTGGAGGGGTTACCAGCCCCTCGCACCCGTCCAGAGCCCCCGTTTAGCCCCTGTGGTGGACACATATGCCATGAGGGGAGGAGCCAATCAAAATTGGATCTCCCCCCACAGCGCTGTCCACGACAGAGTTGCCCATCCGGCACCGCGAGGAGGTAGGGGGTTGTTTTGCCGGACACATACACACACACATACACACACACATACACACACACATACACACACATACACATACATACACACATACATACACACATACACACACACATACACACACATACACACACATGCACACACACATACACGCAAACATACAAACACACAAACACACACACACATACACACACACATACACACACACATACACACACACACACATACACACACACATACACACACACACATACACACACACACATACACACACATACACACACACACATACACACACACATACACACACATACACACACACATACACACATACACACACACATACACACACATACACACACACATACACACACACGTACACACACATACACACACACACGTACACACACACGTACACGTACACACACACGTACACACACACAAACACACACACACCGTGTATGTGTGTGTGTGTAACCAACAGCTGTGGATATCTTCTTGGACAGCAGCGGTGGAGTGATCAACGAACGCGAGAGAGAGACACTCTACCTGCACCAGGTAACTCACCTGTTGCGTCGTTACAAAGGTCCCCCGTGTAGCCTCTAACAGGCTGTAGGGGCAAGTGCTGTGAGTAGCGAGTAGCAGCAGCACCTGTGAAGGTAGACACAGACAAAGTTCCCCCGTGTAGCCTCTAACAGGCTGTAGGGGCAAGTGCTGTGAAGGCTACCGGCACTGTGGCACACGAGAGGGGTGGGTGGCCAGCACCACGCCGCCTTTGTCTCCCCAGTGACGATGTTCACTACACACCGCTACACCAGCTACTCATTTGAGGCTGAGTCTACCTAGGACCGGTTCAGATAATCGTCACCGGTGGTGTGAGCGGGAATCGAACCCGGGTCGCTCCGCACTAAGCTTCAGGTCTTCTCGGCCACGGTCATTCCCTCCCTTCTCTACGCTTGTGAAACGTGGACCCCCCTAATGGAACATCTTCGCCGGTTAGAAACATTTAGGCTGGCCTGCCTACGATCCATCCTGGGTTTAACCAGACTGGATTGTGTGAGGAGCTCACAAATCCTTGAAAAATCTGGGCAAGGTCCCATCGGTGAGCTCCTCCGGCAGGCAAGGCTGCGTTGGCTGGGTCATGTAGCCCGCATGCCCAGCCACCGCATGCCGAAACAGCTTTTGTTCGGCCGGATCAAGGGGGCTAAACGGACGCGGCACGGGCTAGAGAAGAGATGGAGTGATGTGGTACAGGAGGATGTGGAGCTGAGTGGACTTGCCGATGACTGGTACCAGCGGTGTCAAGATCGGCCTCTGTGGAGGAGGCTCGTGAAGGACGCTGCTGGGCAGTTGGAGGCAGTCGCCCTCCAACAACAACGGGGGGCGGAGGAGCGACGCTCACAACAACGAGCGGAGCGCCGGGTGGCTAAAGCACAGCAGATTGGCACAGTAGGGGGCACAGGTGGTGCATCAGCCAGTCATCTCAGTCAGTCGACCCGTGGCACCAGGGTCTGTCCCGTGACCTCCTGCCCGCGGGCGTTCGACACTTCACGTGGCCTCAAGGTGCACATAGCCTGGCACAAGCGTCGTGGTGACGTCACCGCCACTTAGTGGCGAATGGCGGTTGTTGTTGTGTCACTGTGTGTCACTGTGTCCGTGTGTCACACACCGTGTGTGTCACTGTGTGTGTCACTGTGTGTGTCACTGTGTGTGTCACTGTGTGTGTGTGTGTCACTGTGTGTGATAGTGTAGCGGTTAGCGCTACGCTGCGCTATGAACCTGGCGACCCGGGTTCGATTCCCGCTCACGGACAACACCAGTGACAATTATCTGAACCGGTCCCGGGCCTCCTCTAGGTCGGCTCAGCCTCAAATGAGTACCATGTGCGGTGTGTAAACATTGCCACTAAGGAGACAAAGGCGGTCGGGCGTGGTGCTGGCCACCCACCCCCTCGTGTACCGTTCCCGCCTTCATAGGTGCTCGCTAACAGCACTTGCCCCAACAGTCTGTTAAGGCTATATGGGGGATCTTTGTTATCTTTGTCACTGTGTGTGTGACCGTGTGTGTCACTGTGTGTGTGTGTCACTGTGTGTGTGTGTGTCACTGTTTGTGTCACTGTGTGTGTCACTGTGTGTCACTGTCTGTGTCACTGTGTGTGTGTGTGTCACTGTGTGTGTCACTGTGTGTCACTGTGTGTGTCACTGTGTGTGTCACTGTGTGTCACTGTGTGTGTCACTGTGTGTCACTGTGTGTGTCACTGTGTGTGTGTGTCACTGTGTGTGTGTGTGTCACTGTTTGTGTCACTGTGTGTGTCACTGTGTGTCACTGTCTGTGTCACTGTGTGTGTGTGTGTCACTGTGTGTGTCACTGTGTGTGTCACTGTGTGTCACTGTGTGTGTCACTGTGTGTCACTGTGTGTGTCACTGTGTGTCACTGTGTGTGTCACTGTGTGTGTGTGTGTCACTGTGTGTGTGTCACTGTGTGTGTCACTGTGTGTGTCACTGTGTGTCACTGTGTGTGTCACTGTGTGTGTCACTGTGTGTGTGTCACTGTGTGTGTGTGTCACTGTGTGTGTGTGTGTCACTGTGTGTGTCACTGTGTGTGTCACTGTGTGTCACTGTGTGTGTCACTGTGTGTGTGTGTCACTGTGTGTGTCACTATGTGTGTCACTGTGTGTGTCACTGTGTGTGTGTGTGTCACTGTGTGTGTCACTGTGTGTGTCACTGTGTGTTACTGTGTGTGTCACTGTGTGTGTCACTGTGTGTGTGTCACTGTGTGTGTCACTGTGTGTGTCACTGTGTGTGTGTGTCACTGTGTGTGTGTGTCACTGTGTGTGTCACTGTGTGTGTCACTGTGTGTGTCACTGTGTGTCTGTGTCACTGTGTGTGTCACTGTGTGTCACTGTGTGTGTCACTGTGTGTGTCACTGTGTCACTGTGTGTGTCACTGTGTGTGTCACTGTGTGTGTCACTGTGTGTGTCACTGTGTGTGCGAGGTAGTCATGGACACGGTGTCTGGCTTGGTCAGCCAATCGCCAGCAACCCCTCGAGACCCCGCAGGTAACAGTCGCCGTGCTGATGACACTGATGATGATGCTGACACTGCTGCTGATGACACTGATGATGATGACACTGCTGATGATGACACTGCTGATGACACTGCTGATGATGACACTGCTGCTGACACTGCTGATGATGATGATACTGCTGATGACACTGCTGTTGACACTGCTGTTGATGATGATGACACTGCTGATGATGACACTGCTGATGATGATGACACTGATGATGACACTGCTGATGATGACACTGCTGATAATGATGATACTGCTGCTGATGACACTGCTGTTGACACTGCTGTTGATGATGATGACACTGCTGATGATACTGCTGGTGACACTGCTGATGATACTGCTGATGACACTGCTGATGATGACACTGCTGATGATGACACTGCTGATGACACTGCTGATGATGACACTGCTGATGACACTGTTGATGATGACACTGCTGATGATGACACTGCTGATGACACTGCTGATGATGACGACACTGCTGATAATACTGATGATGACACTGCTGATGGCACTGCTGCTGATGACACTGCTGCTGATGACACTGCTGATGACACTGCTGCTGATGACACTGCTGATGACACTGCTGATGACACTGCTGCTGATGATGACACTGCTGATGACACTGATAATGACACTGCTGACACTGCTGCTGATGACACTGCTGCTGATGACACTGCTGCTGATGACACTGCTGATGATGATGACACTGCTGATGGCACTGCTGCTGATGACACTGCTGATGATGACGACACGGCTGATGACACTGCTGATGACACGGCTGATGATGACACTGCTGATAACACTGCTGATGATACTGCTGCTGATGACACTGCTGCTGACACTGCTGATGATGATGACACTGCTGATGACACTGCTGCTGATGACACTGCTGATGACACTGCTGCTGATGACACTGCTGCTGCTGATGATGACACTGCTGCTGTTGATGACCCTGCTGATGACACTGCTGATGATGACACTGCTGATGACGACCCTGCTGACACTGCTGATGACGACCCTGCTGATGACACTGCTGATGATGCCACTGCTGATGACACTGCTGATGATACTGCTGCTGATGACACTGCTGTTGACACTGTTGTTGATGATGATGACACTGCTGATGATGACACTGCTGATGATGATGACACTGATGATGACACTGCTGATGATGACACTGCTGATGACACTGCTGATGATGACACTGCTGATGATGACACTGCTGCTGATGATGATACTGCTGCTGATGACACTGCTATTGACACTGCTGTTGATGATGATGACACTGCTGATGATACTGCTGGTGACACTGCTGATGATGGCACTGCTGATGACACTGCTGATGATGACACTGCTGATGATGACACTGCTGATGACACTGCTGATGATGACACTGCTGATGACACTGTTGATGATGACACTGCTGATGATGACACTGCTGATGACACTGCTGATGATGACGACACTGCTGATGACACTGATGATGACACTGCTGATGGCACTGCTGCTGATGACACTGCTGCTGATGACACTGCTGATGACACTGCTGCTGATGACACTGCTGATGACACTGCTGATGACACTGCTGCTGATGATGACAATGCTGATGACACTGATAATGACACTGCTGACACTGCTGCTGATGACACTGCTGCTGATGACACTGCTGCTGATGACACTGCTGATGATGATGACACTGCTGATGGCACTGCTGCTGATGACACTGCTGATGATGACGACACTGCTGATGACACTGCTGATGACACGGCTGATGATGACACTGCTGATAACACTGCTGATGATACTGCTGCTGATGACACTGCTGCTGACACTGCTGATGATGATGACACTGCTGATGACACTGCTGCTGATGACACTGCTGCTGATGACACTGCTGCTGATGACACTGCTGCTGCTGATGATGACACTGCTGATGATAACACTGCTGCTGCTGATGACCCTGCTGATGACACTGCTGATTATGACACTGCTGATGACGACCCTGCTGACACTGCTGATGACGACCCTGCTGATGACACTGCTGATGATGACACTGCTGATGACACTGCTGATGACACTGCTGATGATGCTGCTGATGATGCCACTGCTGATGACACTGCTGATGATACTGCTGCTGATGACACTGCTGCTGATAATGACACTGCTGATGATGACACTGCTGATGATGACACTGCTGATGACACTGCTGATGATGATGACACTGATGATGACACTTATGATGATGACACTGCTGATGACACTGCTGATGATGACACTGATGATGACACTGCTGATGATGATGACACTGCTGATGACACTGCTGATGATGATGACACTGCTGATGACACTGCTGCTGATGACACTGCTGATGATGATGACACTGCTGCTGATGACACTGCTGATGATGATGACACTGCTCATGACACTGCTGCTGATGACACTGCTGATGACACTGCTGCTGATGACACTGCTGCTGATGACACTGCTGATGATGACGCTGCTCATGACACTGCTGCTGATGACACTGCTGATGATGACACTGCTGCTGATGACACTGCTGATGATGACACTGCTGATGATGACACTGCTGATGATGACACTGCTGATGACACCCGACAGTGTTGGTGCGGAGCCGCAAGCGAACGGCCATGGCCGCCGTGGCCGCGTTGGCGATGCTGTCCCTGCTCATCGTGAGCACGGGGCTAGGGGCAGCTACACGTACAGACAACGTGGCTGTGGGAGGGTACTACCCTGGCCTCGTGGTGAGTCGTTCCTTCACTCATTCATTCATTCACTCACTCACTCATTCACTCACCCACCAACTCACTCATTCACTCACTCACTCATTCACTTACTCACTCATTCACTCACTCACTCCCTGCTCATCGTGAGCACGGGGCTAGGGGCAGCTACACGTACAGACAACGTGGCTGTGGGAGGGTACTACCCTGGCCTCGTGGCGAGTCGTTCCTTCACTCATTCATTCATTCACTCACTCACTCATTCACTCACCCACCAACTCACTCATTCACTCACTCACTCATTCACTTACTCACTCATTCACTCACTCACTCCCTGCTCATCGTGAGCACGGGGCTAGGGGCAGCTACACGTACAGACAACGTGGCTGTGGGAGGGTACTACCCTGGCCTCGTGGTGAGTCGTTCCTTCACTCATTCATTCATTCACTCACTCACTCATTCACTCACCCACCAACTCACTCATTCACTCACTCACTCATTCACTTACTCACTCATTCACTCACTCACTCCCTGCTCATCGTGAGCACGGGGCTAGGGGCAGCTACACGTACAGACAACGTGGCTGTGGGAGGGTACTACCCTGGCCTCGTGGTGAGTCGTTCCTTCACTCATTCATTCATTTACTCACTCACTCATTCACTCACCCACCAACTCACTCATTCACTCACTCACTCATTCACTTACTCACTCATTCACTCACTCACTCCCTGCTCATCGTGAGCACGGGGCTAGGGGCAGCTACACGTACAGACAACGTGGCTGTGGGAGGGTACTACCCTGGCCTCGTGGTGAGTCGTTCCTTCACTCATTCATTCATTCACTCATTCATTCACTCACTCATTCACTCACTCACCCACCCACCAACTCACTCATTCATTCACTCACTCACTCATTCACTCACTCACTCCCTGCTCATCGTGAGCACGGGGCTAGGGGCAGCTACACGTACAGACAACGTGGCCGTGGGAGGGTACTACCCTGGCCTCGTGGTGAGTCGTTCCTTCACTCATTCATTCATTCACTCACTCACTCATTCACTCACTCACCCACCCACCAACTCACTCACTCACCCACTCACTCACCCACCCACCAACTCACTCACTCATTCACTCACTCACTCATTCACTCACTCACTCCCTGCCCATCGTGAGCACGGGCGTAGGGGCAGCTACACGTACAGACAACGTGGCTGTGGGAGGGTACTACCCTGGCCTCGTGGTGAGTCGTTCCTTCACTCAATCACTCATTCACTCACTCACTCATTCACTCATTCACTCACTCACCCACCCACCAACTCACTCATTCACTCACTCACTCCCTGCTCATCGTGAGCACGGGGCTAGGGGCAGCTACACGTACAGACAACGTGGCCGTGGGAGGGTACTACCCTGGCCTCGTGGTGAGTCGTTCCTTCACTCATTCATTCATTCACTCACTCACTCATTCACTCACTCACCCACCCACCAACTCACTCATTCACTCACTCACTCCCTGCTCATCGTGAGCACGGGGCTAGGGGCAGCTACACGTACAGACAACGTGGCTGTGGGAGGGTACTACCCTGGCCTCGTGGTGAGTCGTTCCTTCACTCATTCATTCATTCACTCATTCATTCACTCATTCATTCACTCACTCACCCACCCACCAACTCACTCATTCACTCACTCACTCCCTGCTCATCGTGAGCACGGGGCTAGGGGCAGCTACACGTACAGACAACGTGGCTGTGGGAGGGTACTACCCTGGCCTCGTGGTGAGTCGTTCTGTCACTCATTCATTCATTCACTCATTCATTCACTCACTCATTCACTCACTCACCCACCCACCAACTCACTCATTCACTCACTCACTCCCTGCTCATCGTGAGCACGGGGCTAGGGGCAGCTACACGTACAGACAACGTGGCCGTGGGAGGGTACTACCCTGGCCTCGTGGTGAGTCGTTCCTTCACTCATTAATTCATTCACTCATTCATTCACTCACTCACCCACCCACCAACTCACTATTTCACTCACTCACTCCCTGCTCATCGTGAGCACGGGGCTAGGGGCAGCTACACGTACAGACAACGTGGCCGTGGGAGGGTACTACCCTGGCCTCGTGGTGAGTCGTTCCTTCACTCATTCATTCACTCACTCACTCATTCACTCACTCACTCACTCATTCATTCACTCACCCACCCACCAACTCACTCACTCACCCACTCACTCACCCACCCACCAACTCACTCACTCACTCATTCACTCACTCACTCATTCACTCACTCACTCCCTGCTCATCGTGAGCACGGGGCTAGGGGCAGCTACACGTACAGACAACGTAGCCGTGGGAGGGTACTACCCTGGCCTCGTGGTGAGTCGTTCCTTCACTCATTCATTCATTCACTCACTCACTCATTCACTCACTCACCCACCCACCAACTCACTCATTCATTCACTCACTCACTCACTCATTCACTCACTCACTCCCTGCTCATCGTGAGCACGGGGCTAGGGGCAGCTACACGTACAGACAACGTGGCCGTGGGAGGGTACTACCCTGGCCTCGTGGTGAGTCGTTCCTTCACTCATTCACTCATTCATTCACTCACTCATTCACTCACTCACCCACTCACCAACTCACTCACTCATTCACTCACTCATTCACTCACTCACTCATTCACTCATTCACTCACTCACCCACCCACCAACTCACTAATTCACTCACTCACTCCCTGCTCATCGTGAGCACGGGGCTAGGGGCAGCTACACGTACAGACAACGTGGCTGTGGGAGGGTACTACCCTGGCCTCGTGGTGAGTCGTTCCTTCACTCAAGCACTCATTCATTCACTCACTCATTCACTCGTTCATTCCCTCACTCACTCATCCACTCACTCACTCATTCACTCACTCACTCACTCACCCACTCACTCACTGACTCACTCACTCACTCACCCACTCACTCACCCACTCACTCACTCATTCATTCATTCACTCACTCACCCACTCACTCACTGATTCACTCACCCACTCACCTACCCACCCACTCACTCACTCATTCATTCACTCACTCACCCACTCACTCACTGACTCACTCACCCACTCACCCACTCATTCACCCACTCACCCACTCACTCACTCACTCATTCATTCACTCACTCACTCACTCACCCACCCACTCACCCACCCACTCACTCACTCACTCATTCATTCACTCACTCACTCACTCGCTCATTCCCTCAATCATCACTACGCTCACGAATTTATTCACTCACGGGCACCGACAGTGTAGCAGTGGGAGGGCACTTCCATGGCCTGGTCGTGAGTCATTCCCTCATTCATTCGCTTAGGAATGTTAACTCATTCGTTCGCCACGCACTCCGGTGTTCCTTCATTCAGCGCGCTCATTCACTGATGCGCTCACCCCTTCACTCACGTGACGTTCAATTGACTGAATTCATTCACTCATTAAATCATTCACCCACCGACTCATTGACCCCCACCCCCCAACCCCCCCCCCCCCCCACACCCCCGGCTCACAAACTCGGCAGAATAACCGAATTGCCCAAATGAATGAATGAATGAATGACTCAATGAATGACTCGACGGGTTGAATGAGTCGACAAAGCACACCACCAATGACCCTGGACCGACTCAACATGCGAATGACTAAATGGGCGAACGAACGACTCAGGGAATGAAAGCGACGCGCCACTAAGTGAACGGCCACATTGACGGCCCAGTGGGTGAACGACTTTATTGGATAACCAGGGCGAATGACCCAACGGACGAATCACGAAACGAATGACTAAACGGCGGAACGACGGACGGAATGACTGAGTTGACGATGGACTCCGACAGTGAACGACTCGGCGAACGAACGACTCGGCGAACGAACGACTCGGCGAACGAACGACTCAGCGAACGAATGACTCGGCGAACGAACGACTCGGCGAACGAACGACTCGGCGAATGAACGACTCGGCGAATGAACGACTCGGCGAATGAACGACTCGGCGAACGAATGACTCGGCGAATGAACGACTCGGCGAACGAGCAACTTGGCGAGCGAACGACTCGGCGAGCGAACGACTCGGCGAACGAACGGCTCGGCGAATGAACGACTCGGCGAACGAATGACTCGGCGAATGAACGACTCGGCGAACGAACGACTCGGCGAATGAACGACTCGGCGAACGAACGACTCGGCGAATGAACGACTCGGCGAACGAATGACTCGGCGAATGAACGACTCGGCGAACGAGCAACTTGGCGAGCGAACGACTCGGCGAGCGAACGACTCGGCGAGCGAACGACTCGGCGAACGAACGAATGGAACGACTCGGCGAACGAACGACTTGGCGAACGACTCGGCGAACGAACGACTCGGCGAGTGAACGACTCGGCGAACGAACGACTCGGCGAGCGAACGACTCGGCGAGCGAACGACTCGGCGAACGAACGGCTCAGCGAACGAACTGATCCGCCCGCAGATGGGGTTCGGCTCATTCCTCGCTATCATCGGGATCAATCTCAACGCTAACAAGCGACCGATGGTGAGATCCTCACGGGAACGTAGCCCCAGTGATGTACAGAGAGGGGGGAAAAAAACGTATTTGATCCCCTGCTGATTTTGTACGTTTGCCCACTGACAAAATAAATGATCAGTCTTTAATTTTTAACGGTGGGTTCATTTGAACAGTGAGAGACAGAATAACAGCAACAAAAAATCCAGAAAAACGCATGTCAAAAATGTGTGTAGGTCTACAATCTTGTCCCTGACATCCTTGGAGAGCTCTTTGGTCTCGGCCGTGGTTGGAGAGTTTGGAATCTGATTGATTGCTTGATTGATTGCTTCTGTGGACAGGTGTCTTTTATACAGGTAGCGAGCTGAGATTAGGAGCACTCCCTTTAAGAGTGTGCTCCTAAACTCAGCTCGTTAGCTGTGTGAAAAGACACCTGGGAGCCGGAAGTCTTTCTGATTGAGAGGGGGTCAAATACTTATTTCCCTCATTGAAATGCAAATCAATTTATAACATTTTTGACATGCGTTTTTCTGGATTTTGTTGTTGTTATTCTGTCTCTCACTGCTCAAACAAACCTACCATTAAAATAATAGACTGATCGTTTCTTCGTCAGTGGGCAAACGTACAAAATCAGCAGGGGATCAAATACTTCAGTAAAGTCACGTAGAAATAAGAAATAATAATAAAATTACATAATAGTATACATACGACGTTTCGATTGCAACGCAAGCAATCATCATCAGGTTTAGGAGAGCTAAATTTAAGAGAGAGAGAGAGAGGAAACACGGAACCGCAGACAAAGAGAGATGGAGAAGCACATCAAATCGAACGAGATTTTGTAAAATTTGGAAACAATATAATGCGGCACAGAGGGTTGGTCAAAACACAATAAACGCATGGTCTGGTTGATTACGTTATTTCAAAGATTGCTAAATTATAGGTTAAGAGTTAAGTACAGATCGCAGACACATATATAGACATCTCAGCAGAGAGAGTTAGCACCGATACACACATATAGCCACAGTGATATAGCCACAGTGATAGAGCCACAGTGACGTAACCACAGTGACGTGGCCACAGTGACGTAGCCACAGTGACGTAGCCACAGTGACGTAGCCACAGTGATAGAGCCACAGTGACGTAGCCACAGTGACGTAGCCACAGTGACGTAGCCACAGTGACGTAGCCACAGTGACATAGCCACAGTGACAGAGCCACAGTGACGTTGCCACAGTGACGTAGTCACAGTGACGTGGCCACAGTGACGTGGCCACTGTGACGTGGCCACAGTGACGTGGCCACAGTGACGTAGTCACAGTGACGTAGCCACAGTGACGTAGCCACAGTGACGTGGCCACAGTGACGTGGCCACTGTGACGTAGCCACAGTGACAGAGCCCCAGTGACGTAGCCACAGTGACGTGGCCACAGTGACGTGGCCACAGTGACGTGGCCACAGTGACGTGGCCACAGGGACGTAGCCACAGGGATGTAGCCACAGTGACGTAGCCACAGTGACGTAGCCACAGTGATATAGCCACAGTGATAGAGCCACAGTGACGTTGCCACAGTGATGTAGTCACAGTGACACACCCACAGTGACGTAGTCACAGTGACGTAGCCACAGTGACAGAGCCACAGTGACGTTGCCACAGTGACGTTGCCACAGTGACGTAGCCACAGTGACGTAGTCACAGTGACACACCCACAGTGACGTAGTCACAGTGACAGAGCCACAGTGACGTAGCCACAGTGACGTGGCCACAGTGACGTGGCCACAGTGACGTGGCCACAGTGACGTGGCCACTGTGACGTGGCCACATTGACGTGGCCACAGTGACGTGGCCACAGTGACGTGGCCACTGTGACATGGCCACAGTGACGTAGCCACAGTGACGTAGCCACAGTGATGTAGCCACAGTGACACAGCCCCTATATTAAACCTACACTTATTTTAACTAAAACTAAACTCTATTTCTACGTCATTTCACACACAAAGGCAAAGATCCCCCGTATAGCCTTCAAAAGACTGCAGGGTCAAGTGCTGTTAGCGAGCAGCTATTGAAAGCTAACCGGCACTGTGGCGATGTTCACTACTACTATACACACACAGACACACACACAGACACACGCACACACACAGACACACACACACAGACACACACACACAGACACACAGACACACACACACACAGACACACAGACACACACACACACAGACACACAGACAGACACACACACAGACACGCACACACAGACACACACACACACAGACACACACAGACACACACACAGACACACACACACAGACACACAGACACACACACACAGACACACACACACGCGTGCAGGTTCTCCTATCACGTGACCTCCACGTACGTCTCTCCCGCAGCTGGTCGCGGCCATCATCTTCATCAGCTTCGGGGTGGCCGCAGCCTTCTCCTGCGCCGTGGTGGACGGCGTCTTCGCCGCCCGGCACATCGTGAGCGAGGGCCCTGCCTGGGTCACGCGGGGCCAGGGTCACCACGTGACCCAGGGTCACCACCTGACCCGGGGTCACCACTAGACTCAGGGTCATCACGTGACTCAGGGTCATCACTAGACTCAGGGTCACCACCTGACCCGGGGTCACCACCTGACCCAGGGTCACCACCTGACCCAGGGTCACCACCTGACCCAGGGTCACCACCTGGCCCAGGGTCACCACGTGACCCAGGTTCACCACGTGACCCAGGGTCACCGCCTGACCCGGGATCACCACGTGACTCAGGGTCACCACGTGACCCAGGGTCACCACGTGACTCAGGGTCACCACCTGACCCAGGGTCACCACTAGACCCAGGGTCACCACCTGATGCAGGGTCACCACCACACTCAGGGTCATCATCAGATTCAGGGTCACCACCTGACCCAGGGTCACCACCTGACTCAGGGTCACCACCTGACCCAGGGTCATCACCTGACCCGGGGTCATCATCAGACTCAGGGTCATCACCTGACTCAGGGTCATCATCAGACCCAGGGTCACCACGTGACTCAGGGTCACCACGTGACTCAGGGTCATCACCTGACCCAGGGTCATCACCTGACTCAGGGTCATCATCAGACTCAGGGTCACCACCTGACCCAGGGTCACCACCTGACTCAGGGTCACCACGTGACTCAGGGTCACCACCTGACCCAGGGTCATCATCAGACTCAGGGTCACCACGTGACTCAGGGCCACCACGTGACTCAGGGTCACCACCTGACCCAGGGTCACCACCTGACGCAGGGTCACCACTTGACCCAGGGTCACCACGTGACTCAGGGTCACCACCTGACCCAGGGTCACCACCTGACTCAGGGTCACCACCTGACTCAGGGCCACCAGCTAACTCAGGGCCACCAGCTGACTCAGGGTCACCACGTGACTCAGGGTCACCACGTGACCCATTGCCCCCCCCCCCCCCATTGCCCCCTCCCAGGACCCAAGCCCCGTGCTTGCTGGCCGGTGCCTCTACTTCCCTGGGGATGGTAAATACTCGTACGAGGATTACAACACCGAGGTCGGTGCTCACACGAGGGGGTTACCGGGGGGTCACTGTGGGGTCACCGGGGGTCACCGGGGGTCACCGGGGGGTCACTGGGGGGGTTACCGGGGGGTCACTGTGGGGTCACTGGGGGGGTCACCGGGGGGTCACCGGGAGATTTCAGGGGGATTGCGGGGGGACTGAGCGGGTGATTGTGGGTGATTGCTGGGGATTGCTCAGCACTGATTGTGGGTGTGCTTGTGGGCGATGGCAGTTCCAGTGTGGGTGGAGGTTTAGCACACTCACACAGACAAAAGGTCCCCCGTGTAGCCTCTAACAGGCTGTAGGGGCAAGTGCTGTGAGTAGCGAGTAGCAGCAGCACCTGTGAAGGTAGACACAGACAAAGGTCCCCCGTGTAGCCTCTAACAGGCTGTAGGGGCAAGCGCTGTTAGTAGCGAGTAGCAGCAGCACCTGTGAAGGTAGACACAGACAAAGGTCCCCCGTGTAGCCTCTAACAGGCTGTAGGGGCAAGTGCTGTTAGCGAGCAGCACCTGTGAAGGCTACCGGCACTGTGGCACACGAGGGGGGTGGGTGGTTACCAGCACCACGCCCGACCGCCTTTGTTTCCCCAGTGACGATGTTCACTACACACCGCTACACCAGCTACTCATTTGAGGCTGAGTCTACCTAGGACCGGTTCAGATAATCGTCACCGGTGGTGTGAGCGGGAATCGAACCCGGGTCGCTCCTCACTAAGCTTCAGGTCTTCTCGGCCACGGTCATTCCCTCCCTTCTCTACGCTTGCGAAACGTGGACCCCCCTAATGGAACATCTTCGCCGGTTAGAAACATTTAGGCTGGCCTGCCTACGATCCATCCTGGGTTTAACCAGACTGGATTGTGTGAGGAGCTCACAAATCCGGGTTCGTAGATTAGCGTCGCGCTAACCACTACACCCACCGCTCCCACCACCACCACCACCACCACCGCCTCCACCACCGCCACCGCCACCACCACCATTACCACCACCACCATCATCACCACCACCACCACCATCATCACCACCATCACCACCACCACCACCACCACCGCCGCCACCACCACCACCACCACCACCATCACCGCCACCACCACCACCATCACCACCACCATCACCACCACCGCCACCACCACCACCACCACCACCGCCACCACCACCATCACCACCACCATCACCACCACCACCATTACCACCACCATCATCACCACCACCACCACCATCATCACCACCACCACCACCATCATCACCACCACCACCACCATCACCACCATCACCACCATCACCACCGCCATCATCACCACCACCACCACCATTACCACCACCACCATCACCACCATCACCACCACCAGCATCACCACCATCACCATCACCACCATCACCACCACCGCCACCACCACCATCACCACCACCATCACCACCACCACCATTACCACCACCATCATCACCACCACCACCACCATCATCACCACCACCACCACCACCATCATCACCACCACCACCATCACCACCATCACCACCGCCATCATCACCACCACCACCACCACCATCACCACCACCACCATCACCACCACCACCACCATCACCACCATCACCACCACCACCATCACCACCATCACCACCACCACCATCACCACCATCACCACCACCACCATAACCACCACCACCACCACCACCATCACCACCATCACCACCACCACCATCACCACCACCACCACCACCGCCGCCACCGCCACCACCACCACCGCCGCCACCATCACCACCACCACCACCACCGCCACCACAACCATCACCATCACCATCACCGCCACCACCACCACCATCACCACCACCACCACCACCACCATCACCACCACCGCCACCACCACCACCACCACCACCACCGCCACCACCACCATCACCACCGCCATCACCACCACCACCATTACCACCACCATCATCACCACCACCACCACCATCATCACCACCACCACCACCATCATCACCACCACCACCATCACCACCATCACCACCATCACCACCGCCATCATCACCACCACCACCACCACCATCACCACCACCACCATCACCACCATCACCACCACCACCATCACCACCATCACCATCACCACCATCACCACCACCGCCACCACCACCATCACCACCACCATCACCACCACCACCATTACCACCACCATCATCACCACCACCATCATCACCACCACCACCACCATCATCACCACCACCACCACCATCACCACCATCACCACCATCACCACCGCCATCATCACCACCACCACCACCATCACCACCATCACCACCACCACCATCACCACCACCACCACCACCATCACCACCACCATCACCATCACCACCATCACCACCACCACCATCACCACCATCACCACCACCACCATCACCACCATCACCACCACCATCACCACCACCACCACCATCACCACCACCACCACCACCATCACCACTACCACCATCACCATCACCACCATCACCACCACCACCATCACCACCATCACCACCACCACCATCACCACCATCACCATCACCACCATCACCACCACCATCACCATCACCACCATCACCACCATCACCACCACCACCATCACCACCACCACCACCACCATCACCACCACCACCACCACCATCACCATCACCACCATCACCACCACCACCATCACCACCACCACCACCATCACCACCACCATCACCATCACCACCATCACCA